GGGGGGGGGGGGGGGTTACTGTAGTCTCAAAAGATCGTTCGCACCAACGCCCCAAGATCGATTGAATTAAGATAGTTTTCCTTCATCTTATTAGACACAAATTCTATGAATGCTTCTTCCAATATAGTGGACAACTTCACATCAATCTCAGAAGGCCCATTATAATAACATCCCAAGCACGACTGTGGTGGGTTATTCATCCCACATTTTATTTAGAGAATAATTCTTCAAGAACTAATTCTAGGTTGGGTGACAAATTCAAAAATAATGCTTCCTCAACACCCCCCACCATTACAAAGTTCTTCATTAAATGTATCATGAAGTTGATCTTTTCAATGTTCGATACATGGGTTGTTTTATAAGCTCATATTAAAAACACTCTGATAGGGAGAAAAAAAAATCAAAAACAACAATTCGCATGTTACCAATATTATTCTTGAGTATGACTATAACCATGTTTCCAAGAAAAGTACATCTCATTACGACCTATGACCCCTTCTAGAGAAACACAGCATCTCTAACACCTCATTCTGAGCTTAGTCAATCCCATGGGGACTGAATTCAGCCTACTCCATCACAGGCTACAGTTTTTTAATTAGAAGCTTTGACTAACAACCTTAGATTGATCAACCGTCCTTGCTCTATATCATATGAATTTTTTCATTAAAAGTTAACATACTTGAGCATCTTCGACTAAGCAACCTAGGACAAAACTTGTCTCTTTAATGGATTCTTCTTTTGACTATGTTCCATCTGAGGTTAACGCCATCGAGAATCTTTGACTATACAACTGAAGATAGATATTACATTCTTCATTAATTAGAACTAACTTCTTGCACTACATGTTGTGGTCAGCGAGTGGGGCTGCTTTGACTAAGCAACATAAGGAAAGTCAAACATTCTTAGCAATAAATCAAATATTAAAGCCACCACAACTCGGAATAAGAGACAAAATCAATCTTAGAAGCAATATCAAATTTTTTACTATATCAAGTAAATGAAAGTCGTATAAACAAACACATTTTCGTCATGTATAAATGTCACATCAAGAGATTAAAATGCTATGATGACCACACACACTAATGTAAAAGCTAAAAGAAGTTAACATATCTTTAAATGGTATTGGCACCACCTCCGAAAAATTCATTCACTTGTACTGGTTCTTAAGGGGACGAGATTCTCCATAAGTTATCTGCAACAACATGAGAAATGTCACCCAAAAAAGATTGAGATCAACACGAAAAAATCTCATCCAAAAAATTCATTCACTTATACCTTTGCTTAAGGATTTGTGCAGTTGCCTTGGATGAAGTCATACTCCTTGCTTTCCTTAATGTAGCTCTCTGTTGGAACAGAAGAGAACGAAATGGTGGTTCTCAGTTTGTAGAGAGGAGTGCGGAGGAGGGAGATGGGTGGAGAGGAGAGGGCTTGGTCTCCGTTTGGATGAGGAGAAGAGAGGAGAGGTGAGGAAGTCATGAGAACGAGAGAGGAGAGAATTGTTTATGTCAGTTATTTGGATGAAGGGCTAATGGGGCTGATTTGGGAGGAGTGGTTAACGGAGGAAGACTTAAAATTCAAAACATTATTTAGGGTAGTTATAGCCCAAAATTACAAACATGCCTCATTTTGAAGAAAAAAATGCAAAGTCTAATGGTTTAATTAGTTTTGAAAAGCGTTGCCTCTAACTCAAGATATTTCATTTAAAATAACTTGGTGCTTATGGGCGCGATGGTCAAAATTTTGACTTCAACTCATTTAGTAGAGAAAAATATAGTGAATTTAGTATTACAATTAGTTTTGATCAAAGTGAGCCCCATCTTAAAATATTTCAGGTTAAAATGCATGCCCCACTTTAAGAGAAATTTATTATAGATTTTGAGCGGAAGGTTTTAGTGGGTTTTAATGTATAAAATTAAATGTTTTAGCTAATATTTAGTTTGGTTTTAGTTTGGGTTCATGTTAAGTTAATGATTATTCTTTTTATTTTCAAATTTATCATTCAAATTAATGTTTAGTTAACAAGATCTCAAACAGAGTCAAATTTGAGCACATAGGAGTTCATTTGAAAGATTTTGATGATCCTGATGTGGTCACACGGTTCATTTAAAAAATAATGATTCATTGAAAAACTTTTGTTGGATAATTTTTCATGCAAGAAAACCCAAAATGTAAAATTTTACATAAAAATGATTCTTGATAATCATCAAACTGAGTTGTATGCTTCTCATATATGAATATGAACACTAAGCAATTTACAGGTGCTAATCTCACACCTGATTGATCTGTCAAGAAAATGATAACTGCAGGGTGCATGAGATAATATTTTTACATGAAAGCTTGAAGTAAAAAGTTTAACGTAGAAATTGTATCATATGATCATCAAACTTATTTGCATGACCTTCTAAAGAAGATAAAAAACACCATGCAAATTCCAGAATAAAGTTTCAAGCTTCACAATAATTGAAATAGAAAGAGTTGATTACTTGTAAATTAATTCATGGAACAATGAGTAAGGAATTATTGATTTAAACAAACCAAACAAAGACGAAATGGTTAATTGATGAATGAAAAGAAGCGGCACTTTCAGGAGATTGAGCATATCGATTGTTGATAAATGTGAAGCACAATTCATTTCGCCTGGAGCACTGTATTCTGCACTCATCACTTCATTTGGTTATTTTCATGGTAATTGGGAACCATTACATTCTATTATACGGCCGTACAAAAAGAGAAAAAAATTGTATGTAATTTTTTGCTCCATGAATCATAATGTGGACTGTCTCAACATGGCAAAAGATTGCAACGATCAACTGCACAAAAGAATTTAGTTCACAATAACCCTGGACATATTGCTCAGCCTGGTTAATTTATGTATATGAGAATATACATCCTTTTGGCTGACCTTACTGCAGCTTGAGAAATGAAAAGGTATCCAGACGACTGGTAAAGAGGGTGTTTGGCAGCATATTTTAATGAGATTTAGTCGTGAATTTAACTTAAATTCAACCAAACACCAAAAAACAGAATTAAATCTATTATTCCGTTGAATGAAAATTTTAGCATTATGTCACTAAAAACTTTCCCGTGGCTCTTCTTCTTCTTCTTCTCCTCGACAGAAATCAAATAACTCGAGGGAGCCCAAAAAAAACTTGAGCGAGGTAGCCCTCTCGTTCTTCCCCTACTTCCCTCTTCATCAATTTTGAATGGTAGCTTAGCAGCTCATTGGTTGAGACTCTTTCCTCTTGGCTTGCAAGTCACTATTTTGCAAGGATTCGATCTATGGAATTCATGACCTTGTTTTTTTTTCTTAAACTCTGTTTGGCGAAGAATGGAAGATTATTTGCAATAAGTTCTCCCTATTTATAGCTTCAGCATTTTTCATGGTATCTTTATGGATTATTCAATACGGTTGTTATATGTTCTCTACCACTAGTTCATATGGATTATTCAATATGGGGGAAGGATGCAGACCAGTTTAATCCTCAGCATTTTTTACCAAAGATTTGCTCAAATAAAGGTAATCTTAATTAATTGCTTATTATTATGAATGTTGAGACCTGGGGTTTTGGTCCCTTTCATGTGGAAATGTACAACCTTTTAATTTTTGGGGCATTTACATACATACCATCCAATTCGTATGCATTTACATGTCAAACACCTAAAATTTACCTTCTACTTTCATACCGCCCAAATCACTCATATTGCAGAAAAATGCCATCTTTTTAACTTTTAAAAGTGAAATACACGTTTTCATGCATAGGTAAGACACTATGTATGTAAAAATTGAAGTTTAGGAGTTAGATATGTACATGGGAATTGCGTGCTATGTCTTTAAATCTTAACTTTTTTTGTCATGGCAGTGAATCTGATTTTCTGCTACTTATTGTTCACGAGAAATCTATTGGGCTCTTGTACAGTTCACATTCAACTACAACTCTTTGATTGGAGTTTAACTGCAAATTTGAGAAAAAATAAATTTATGATCTATATAATATATGGTTTCTTTTTTGCCTGGAGTTATCTTTTGATTCTGATGCTTGCGATCTACAACTAAGAAAATCATGGTTACAAATAAGAGCGCAATTAGAAGGAGAATTTTGAATGTTTGAAGAACATGAATAATTTAGGAGTTTGTCCTCAATGTTATGCGCTTAAGCATTGCAAAATTACTTCTAGAAGCATTATGCAGGTGCAATTTTATAGTTAGCTCATAAATTCTTGATATTGTGAATTTGACCAAGCTCAATGCAATTTGATTTAGAACAACTGTATTGTATCCATAATTTCTAGTTTTTTTTAAAGAAGGATGGAATAATTTTGATTCTGTGATAAATTGGCATGGAAGAACCTATGATCTTGCATGTCACTTTCATATAAATGAAATTGCAGAATTAGTTTGTTCAGAACTGTTATTCATTTATTTCAGCAGTTTTAATCTCTGAAGTGAATGGTGCAATCAATTTCTGTAAATTAGACAACTTATAAATTGTCTCTGTGTTTCATTAACAAATGATTTGTATGCAACAAGCTTACTTTTTAGATTCAATCTTGAAATTGCTGATTCATATATGATTCACTATTTTATAAGACTGCATATGAAATTGTACATTTATTTTCTACTTTAAGGTATCATATCGTTTGAGTTTCCAATATAAATTTGCTTGAGCAAAAAATGTACATTAGAATAATACTTGTTTATATTATTCAGGCGCTTTTAGTTGCTCGGAATTCTGGTGTTGTTTTTGCTGGTACATTTGGAGCACTTGCGTGAGTATTTAAATGCATTAACAATCTTAGCACATCTTCTATAACAATCTCATGCACATGTTACTGAACTTTGTTGAAGTCGTGGTTTATGTGCATTACAGAGCTTAATAGGTACTTTGAGGCTTTCATATTTTTAAAAACTCAGCGTATCAAGGTTTAATTAATGCTTCTAAGCTTCTCAATTTGTTGCATCTGTATAATAATTCTCAGCAAGTAAGCATTGCCCTCCCCTTCTTACCCACCCAGGCCTTTACTTGAGGATATGTTTTGAGTTTTTGTGATGCAGGGGTGAGTGTGTGCGGTCTTTCGGGTCATGGTAGGGAACACTCACTGGTTCAATCCACTGTTTTGGTAAGTTATTAAAAGCTGGAGTTGAATCTTCTGAACTTAAAAGAAAAGCCAAGTCAGCAGATTGCTTATCTAAATATCCAGCATTGTTTTATTCTGGTTGTGGTTGAGATAGATGCATGAGACTTGAGATATTTCACTGGAGTGTATGGATACAGGAATATACGTAAACATTGGTTTATGCTATGGGATTATCTATCACAATCTATATAATAGATGATTTTCTTCACCTGTGGTTGTAGGCAAGTTTTACCCAATTACATTGAAGTATTTATCTTTAAACAGTGGTTGTCTCTTCTATCTTATAAGTTGCCTCCCTTACATAAATCACAAAAAGGATTAGATTTAGTGTAAATATTAGACGTACGATTCATAATAAACTGCAAAGTTTACAGTTTCATCTCCTCATAAGATTAGCAACTGCTACCGGGTGCATGCTACTATACAGAATTAGTGAAGCAAAAGTTGACAAAATTATTGAGGCTGGTAAGCCATCCCTTTAAGTGCTCATATTTTCATTTGAGCTTCCGTGTCTCGAGATTAATATCCTAATTTTCTTATGCTTTCTCGTCTTATGTTCTCAGTTGTGTTATTATTCAAATTTAGCTGTTAGATATGTATACATATTTAAATTGTGTGGTATGAATGAAAATGTTCCTATCAGCTTCAATGCTTGTTCCTTTGGGATTCACAAGTGGGATTCACAAGTGCTAGCCAGCTTCATGCGCAAAGACTTGAAATCATTCAAATCACATTTGGCTCAAAAGAACTCCATATAGAGAGCCTACAAACAATCGCAATTTGTTTTTTATGAGCATTTACCCATCAAAGCAAAGCAAAGCAAAATGAAAACCTAAAAAGTCAGTGAAATTTAATGAAACCATTCATACAAAAACCTCATATAAACAACAGCTATAAACCAAAAGTTCCTGATTGTTTTCTCTAGTTAAATATTTCACATATAGAAGACATAAGAAGCAAAAGAACAAGTTCAATTTCGATATATAGAATACAGCAAGAATTTCAATGAGGCAATAAACTAACAATACTAAGTTCTCGTCTTTTCTCCAACTCGTTGCCTATAATTCGTGTTTGCTCAACAACTAACGAATTATTTTCTTTGCTCTTTCCTTCTTCTATCAAAAGAAAAGTATGTTCAGAATTCTTAAGTCTTTAAAATGTTGCTTTGATAGGTAAATGCAATTTTGGCATAGATGGAACTCAGTTTTTGTTTCTTTTTGCACAGCTGTTGAATGGTCTGTATATTACAGCTGGGATCTTTGCTTTTCTCAAGTAATGATCATGGTGCAGGTTGGAATAACATTTGTCTCGAATTTGGTCGTTTAGAAAGTGTGGTTGTTTCTGCATTTAATAGATATTTTTGCTTCACCTTCGGTTGCATCTGATGTGTTTCAATATGGTTTAATAGGCTTTGCATCAAGCTCTTGTGAGGCAAGATGAGTTGTTGGCATACATTGATTTCCATCAAGAGGCTAAATTTCGGGTTTGTTGAAGCTTCATTTATATGTTTGTCATTTTACTCTTCATTTGATGGTTGTAATATTGCTTATTGCATATTTATTTATTTTTCACGCAGAAAATGATGTTCTGATTTTGATCTCTGATTATTTATTGAGAGAAAATGATTTCTTAGAGATGATGATGAAAGACAATTTAGGAGGAGATGGAAGAGATAGTGAAGGAGACATTTCTCTACTTTATTTCACTCACTTATTGCTAAATAAATAAAAAAAAAAAGATACTCAAGAAAAGAGGTTTTTTCGTGTCAATCTTTCAAAAACTTTAAATATTACATTTTGACCACCTACTTATACTTTCTATTTCGACCATCTTTATTTCTTTTTAAAAGATGAGCAAACAATCTATTATATTTAAAGTTTCTTGTGACTGAAATAAAAATTTTAAATTTGGATGATTAATACATTATATTCGAAGTTTTGGGTGTTTTATATGTAAACCCCCCCAAAAAAAGGTTTGAAACAATAAAGATATATAATTTATTCTATTTTATTTTATTTCTTTCGATGAATTGAGAGGATCTAACAAATGTGGATGAATCTGATTCTTTTCGAGTGTTTCTGTTTCAATTGTAATTTATTTCATGCTGAAATTCGAAACTTATATTGTTCAGACATTTGTGATTTTTTTAAAATTTATGATTTATTTTATGCTGAAAAATTAGCAAATAACTCTTGATTGTTAAAAAGTACTCACTGTTAAGCGAGTTGTATTTAAACTTTTGTTCTGTTTTGAAAGAAATTTCTACGTATAAAATATAAAATATATGGTTGTCACAATTCAGTTTTAAACAATTTTACTAAATATAGACAAAATGATCAATTTTTTCAGAAACATGTGTCCCACAACTGTTATCACACAATTGCCACAAACAGATAATCAACTTCCTCATAGTAACTTCCCTGCAACAACTTCCTAGAGCAACGCAACTGCAACTGAAAAACTAACAACTGTAGTTGCGCCAATAGACCCTTACTGTGGAGGAAGATGACCGTCAGCAGTCGGAGAAGAGCTCAAATTTTGCAGAGGATCGCGGCTTGCTCTTCTTTTGCATGATCTATTGTCGCGGTTACCGCCGGGCGGGTAAAAAACAGACCGACGATGTTAGGCCACAAATAAGGGGGAGCTTTCCGTGTTTGCACCAAACCGCAGTGGCACGGCCGCCCCAAACGGGCGAAACCAACTGCACGACACCGCCCCTAAATCTAGCATTTTGTCTTAAATATTCCTGATGGAGCTTATTTTCTTGATTCTGTTGAACTCTTTGTGACTTTCTAGAATGGTAATAATAATTAACTTTTTGGGCCATTGTTTTTCCAGATGAACTACCTGATTACACTCGTTCAATGAAATGTTGTTTCCAATTTCACGATATCAACTCTTCATAGTTAGATCTTCCATGGAAAGCCTGAAAATGTGTTTTGAAAGAAAATTAATTCAAAAATATTCATAAAATAATGTTATAATTTCAATATGTAATACATTACAAGGGAAAAAAAAAAGCACTTCTCCAGTACAAAGATCGAACAGAATTTTAATCTGCAAAGATCTTACCTTTACAATATCAGTTACTCCCAAAACCATCTGATTGAACAAATGAAGCTTCTAAGAAAAAAAAAAAATTCAAAAAAAAGCTAAAGGCAACTCAAGCCAACAACTTCCTCGGCGAAATCCGACGAACTACAGCGACGGTAGCACTATCACCAGCGCTCCCCTTCTGGCCCGCCGGCGTTTGCCGTAAACGAGTACGAGAGAAAACGCCAACTACGGCCTCCTCATTCTCCATCTTCTCGGCAGAAACAGTATCTTCCCCATCATCCCGAACACTCCGAGACTTATCCTCAGCAGCAATCTTCTCAAACTCGTCCATCAATTTCCTCTCCCTTTTCTTGCTAGGCGGCTGAGATGGTGTAACGGGAACGATCTCCTCTGAAGACTCGGAGGGCTCCGAATCGAGAGTTTTCAGTGAGGAAAATTTCATGCTGGAATCGCGAGTCTTAGCGGCAACCTTCTTCCTGCGAGAACCATCTCGTTGCAACCTGAGCTTCTCGATGGATCCCTTGATGCTGCCCTGGAGGCGATGTCGCTGAAAACTGAGTCCGCCCATCGACCAGTGCGCTTCGTTGGCCCAGGATAGGAGAGGATCCAAGAAAGGAACCGGAGGATCCACGCGCTCGTCGTTTAGATTGACGTCGACGAAGAAACGTGGTCGGGGCAGACTGCTTCCATAGAACTTCCCGGGTCCCAAAGCCACCACCATTTAGATTGGATGGAGATTGTAAAGGCCGGACAAAGGAAGAAGATGACGAGAGGTTTGAATGGAGCGATCCGAGTTGGTTGAATTTATGCATAGAGAGAATATCTGGCGGGAGATTTGGCGCCTTGTTTTTTGGCGATTTAGGGTTAGAAATTTGAAGAATTGGCAGCCAAGGCCCAAGGAGATGGGAGATGCATGCCCATGCCCGCCAAACCACCTGAAACTTGCTGTTTACGTAAGTCTAGCTTGTATTTTGTTGTAAGTTAAAAACATTGGGTGTTTTAAATGTAGGTTGAGTGCTCTTGACAAGTTCTTCTAGTGAGAATTCCAAGTAATTTGACAAGTAATTGACTTCCTTAATGGATTAACCTTAGCGAATGGTTGACTTTGTGAGTCCCTCATGGGAGCTTATTTGATTAACATTGAGAGTTGTGTAAGAATTAATTTGTGGAATTGATGAGATTTAGTTCTATAAAATTGAAGGATTTATGTGATTTTAGACTTTTTCAAACTTTAAATTAGAAATTTTAAGATAATTCATAATCAATGGCATGTTAAAAAAAAATTGGTTTTTTATAACAACACCATTTACTTGATCTCAACAAATATACGTGTCCATTAGTTACTAGTTATCTTGTATATTTTAGGAAGTTAGAAAGTATATAGTAATGAGGATTTTGAAAAAGCCCCAATTATGCATAGGTGTTCGGGATTTAGCTTTGGAATTTGTTTGCACATAACATATAGATATTTGATACATTTGTAATGCATCGACATCCTTGTCTATAAATGTGTTTTCCATGATTCATTTTCAAAATCTTATTTATCTGTCTTCATTCTTTTTTATTTATGTCAAATTTATTTCTTAACAACAAAAATATGTTCAAACAACTTGCAAGCTCTACTGTTATTGATGGGTTTAGAGAAAAATATACAAATGCTATCAAGTGAAAGGATAACCTTTTCTTACGAGGTTCAATTTCTACAAAAATGCTTCAACTAATGATTTTGAAATCGAATACAATGAAATTCTTAATGAAAGTTGGGTTTTTAACCATGCAAGTTTACTACTAAAGAAGCTTTTAAGATTAAGGAAGCTGTCATTTAGAGAGCTTCTAGTGATGCAAAAGTCATCACTATGGGAGAAAACAGTCAAATGTGAGTCCTTAGAAGTGCTTAAGAAAGTATTATATTAACAAATATTTGAGTTAAAACCCCTTTAGTTCCAAGATGGAGTGTAAGCATTCTAGAGTCTTGTTTTGTAGTAGAGAAAATAAATTATTTTTGGATTTTAAATTTTATGAGTGAGGTTTAGTTAATCTATCACATCCCCGAGCAAATTATTAACTTCTCTTTTAACCCGTTTGGGTCTGATAGCTTAGTTTCTATCTTTCAAAATCTTAAAGGGGTCTTTTAGCAATGAATACTTGGCCCGGTAAGACATCTACTCACAGATGAAAAGGGGGAAATCATTCATCTTGACATCACTTTTAAGAGTCCATCTTATACTAAAAAAATGATTAAACTATATGATACCTAATAAATATTTGGATTTGTTACCTCTAATAAAGAGCCCTTGTGAATGACCTAAATACAAGGCCATAATTATATATACGAAGTATTATGAATATATGTTATTCATTAAGATTTGGGTTCATTTGGCAAAAAATCATAGATTCAATAAACTCTCTTTGAGCTATATGATTATAAGCACTGGCATCCTAACATGGATATGCATAAAATAACTATGTAGGAAGAGTCACCAAATAATAATCTTTTCTCGAGGTGGTGAGGTGTTGGTCAAATCTCAATCTATAATAAGAATAAAAAAAACTAAGGAGAAAAGAGTTGGGATTAAGAAGGATTTAAATAAATAAATAGGCTTTTTTGTATCTTAAATAGGGACAATATTAGAAAGTGAATGTTTTTCCAAGATAAATTTGATCATGTTCCTCTCTTTAGAATGCACTTGAGATTTTAAAATGATATGACATATGAAGTGTTATGGTATCCCATGGATTGAATCTAGGCTCCTCCTATGGAGGAGATATAGAGTCCAGGTTCTATTAGAAGTATCATGAGCATTAGGAAGTCTCTTCTCTCTCAAGTGCATTAATTAGAGGCTATGTGGGGGTGTTTGGCTACAATTTCGATTTAGCATTAATAGGATTTTGTAAATCCATTAAATACACCCTTCCCATAGATTTATTAAATCAAGATTTTAGCTGAATCGAAGGAAAAATTCTAAACCTTAAATTTGAAAATTTATAAATCCATGAAATTCCTGCTTTTTTTTCATTTTTCTGGATTTCATACCAAACACCCCTTATATCATCTTTTGCCCATGTGAATTAATCCTACTCAGTTACACCCCCAACCTGAGATCAATGAAGACCAAGTTTGTTTATAGTTTATTGAGAAAATGGGTGTTGAACTGGTAACCTATGTATGAAATATGTCCTTGAAGATAAGATAATCCATTATTGCTGGGGCCTTGCAAATAAATGACATGACACAATACATCATACTATATCTTGGTCAA